GGGAACCAGGAAAGCTGAAATTTTAACAGAATGTTCCCTTTCCAAGCATCACATGGTAGTTGTGCACTTAGCTTCCTGAAGTCCGAAACCAGCATGTCACAAATTCTACCTGCTGTGATTCCAAAAGATTTTACTACAGCACGAAATAATGCAAAAACGCATGATCGCACAGGCTCGCCTGGGAGCGTCGCTAATGATTTGTTTTGAAAATGGTCTATCAAAGCGAAGTTTGTAGAGCGCATTATGAGACTGCCGAGGGAAAGTAGAGGGGGGGAGGGGGGAATGTTAATAAAATTGAACCTGCTTTGGAAGGTTGTCTTTCTCAAGTTCGTATTCCTTTAACTTTGGGCACTTGCTCAGTTGCTCCATATAACAAGCATTGCTGCCCGTACCCAAGATCACACCAATCTGACAACTGCTGTCCTTGAAGGCACATGCTAGCAGTGTTCCAACTGTATCATTTAGCAACGCCACCACATCAACATCGACATCCTGAACAAAATAGCTGGGAACTTGCGTAATAATACTTTTTTTTAACAAAGTTTTAAAGTTGAAGTTAAAGTTTTAAGATTTTCGCGTGATAATGAGAAGTTGGAAGTGGGGAAGTGAGCGAAGAGCCAAATAGTTAATAATTTTTTGCAAACTTATGAAGAAACTTGTGAAAATTTGTCGATCTCCATTTAAAATGCAGTTTCGCGAGTTTTTTTTTTGCCAAGAGATTTGTTTTTTCCAGTAGCATTGATCGCGCGAACATTCCTCTTTCTTGTCAACTCATTTAAATGTTATAACTTCATATACATGCTTTTTGTGGTGCACTGAGCAAATGTTTGAGAAGTACAATGAATAATAACCAGCGTCAAAAGAAAAAATGAATTGCTACAATATACATGCTATAAAAATATATTACTCAAATTTTGAAAACATTTAACGAAACCCATGTCATATACTAACTTTGGATAATAATTTCTGACTTGGCGAAGAATGTATTTATTCCGAATTTTCCGTGGGGTGTGATTTTAGCATTTAACAAAAATTATGACTGCTTACATCACGCCTTTGGCATGCTTCCTCCAGCAGTTCGACCACATCGTTGCCAACGCACCCACTGGCGCTGAAGCCCTTGTTCCAGTTAGTCAGAGTGCCGGAATTGATAGAATCCTGATCAACCGGGAAAGAGAACGTGAAACCAAGTGGGATTTCTTCGTCCTCATCCTCCAACTTCTTTTCTTTGATAAAATTCTCCAGACAGGAAGCAATGTGATCGAACAGCTGCATTAGGCGAAAGTAAATGAGCGATGAAAAGCAGTCACAATACAAA